GAAGGGTCTTTGAATACTAGAGACCACTCCATTCAGGAGCCTGGAATAGACCCAGGATTCCTGAGTTTCACAGTTCCTCTGTTAGTCTTTAAGGTGCCACCAGACTCCTTGTTGTTTTTGTAGATACAGACTAACACGGCTACCCCCTGATACAGTTCCTCTTCTGTCAGCAGATATCTGTGAAACCCAGTGGCAAAAAAAGTGTCTCATCCCCCTCCTTCCTAGGGACCCCTCTCATGGCTCTGTGCACCTGTGTCTGTCATTGTCGTCCTCTCCTCCCATCCCCCCTGCTCGCTCAGTGTGTCCTGATATTTCACTCTTGCGATCTGGTCACCCTAAGAACAAGCAACAGAGAGAGGGGGCAAATGGAGTGAGCAGGGGCGGGGACTCACAGAAGGGGCAGAGCAAGGCAAGGATGTTTGGGTTTGTGCTATTAGACAGTTGGCAACCCTTGGTGTAGCACAGGGCATGTGTCTCTGAGCAGATCCCTGCCACTCGCCCGGCCATTTGTCCCAGACACAGAGAACCCAGGTGCCAAGGGAAGGAGCAGCCACAGCAGAGCCGCATTGGCCTTGGCACAGGCTGAGCCTGCGAGCGCAGCAACAGCGGCAGAGAGAGGGGACCCAGCCAGTCAGAGCAGCAGGGTCCCCACCTGTAGGGGAGGGGTCAGTAAAACCAGTCAATAGGAGCTGGGTGCCTAACCTGTTTGATGCTTTTGAAAACCTCACAAGGTGCTGATCTGCCTCACTAGGAACCTACATACGTCTGAAAATCTGGCACTAAGTCATTCTTCAAAATGAGATGTGGGCTCCTAAGTCACTTAGTGCTTTTGATCATTCTACCCTTAGGTCCCTAACTTTAGGGAGCCAAATGTGAACATTTTGGCCTAAATATTGCTAATAATGGTGTGTAAATCTGTGGCCCTCCATAAATAAATAGTAAATCAGTAAATAATAATGATAATGGGGGCAGGAGGGGGGAGAGGAGGAGAGAGAGACAGTCTGTGTTTGTTCCCCTGGCTGTGGGAAATCGAAACTAAAAGGGAACTTTGTATAACTCACCTGCAGCAGCTCAGCGGCTGGCTGCTGACACTTCTCCATCTCTGTGATCAGCTGCTGCAGAGAGGAGCTTTGCTGGGAGAGTTTGGTGACATTTCATTTAGTTTCTTCAGAGTCTCCCTCTCCTCCTCGGCCAGTCTCTGGAGAAAGTTTCTTTTCCTCATTCAGAAGCAGTTGCAATTTCTCAAATTCAGACAAGACTCGCAGTCTCTGGCACTTTACTCTTTCCTTTAGGGAATAAAAAAGGAACAAACAAATAAACAAACCCATAAATATCAGCAGAATTAGCAAGTGTATAAGGCCATTTTGGGCAAAGTACATTAGATTTGAATGAATGTTCATAGATTCATATTTTAAGGCCAGAAGGGACCATTGTGACCATCTAGTTTGACCCCTTGCATGGCACAGGCCAGAAAATTACCCCCCAGAGATTCCTGCATCAAGTCCATAACTTCTGAGTAAAGAATTAAAGAGTCAATAAAGCAGGGGCATAGATTCTGCATCTCCCACTTCCTAGGTGGATACCCCAACCACTGGCTATAGACTCATTCTCTTTTACACTCTGCCCCAATGACTATACAAGTATTTACACACAGTGGAACAATTTCAACAGAAGAGACTTGCCTTTCCCCCTGTCCCCCACTCCCCGCCCCCCCCCCAACTCTCCTGAGAGGTGTGAGATTCCCCAATTGCAATCCCTCTGCACCTCAGGCCAAGGGGAAAATCTCCCACATCCCACGTGAATGCTCTAACCACTGGGCTAAAAGTTATAAGAGAGGCACCATCCTACCCCCATTTGTTGTATTGGGAGCTGAGGCCCCTAAGCCAGTCATTTTCCAGGTGCCTAAAGCTTTGGTGTTGTAACACCTACGTCCCTTTGAGGATGTGGGCCAGAGTCACCTTTGAGTAACCATTACATCCTTAACTCTGCCTTCACTTGAGACAACCAACCCAAAACTCATATTTGGGAAAAAGCAACACCCCACCTCCTCCTTCCAGTACACTAGATATTCACCAGGAAATGCAAAATATCCATAAAAGGGAAGATGAGAAAGAATTAGCATCTAAAAACCAGGTCATCCTATGGGGGTGAGGGATGCAGTCTCCAGAACCCCTTGATCAAACGCCCCTAAATTTGCCCCACATATTCTGCTCTGGTCCCTCAACAAACAGCAATTTTCAAACCAATCTGAGCATGCCTGTGGATTGTAGAACACTTTGAATGGCAGCTTTAAACTGAAATGGTGTTTCAGCCTTAAGTATGGTGCAGAAAGGCTTCCCCTAAACGTGTGTAACTCCATTGGACTCACTAGGGCCCTCTCACTGACCCAGTGTAAATCAGAGGTAACCCTATCCATGCTAATGGAGCTATAGTAGTGTAAAGCTGGTGCGAGCGAGAGCAGGGCTGTCCCAGTGAGCACAGGCAGTGTAAAAAACAACTAAACCAGAATGGCAGCGTTTTACACAGATTTGGTCCTGGTGCAAATGCTGACACAAGATGTGAGACAGGGAAGAGTCTGGCCCTCTGCCTTCCTAGGTGTTGCTAGAATGACTGGGCTTGATCCCGAAGGGGCTTCTGCAATAGAAATACAGATAAATAAAACATGGATTTATCTAGGCCTCATTTGCATTTTGAGTCAGTGTAAATCAGCCTATTATTGTTAAGTGCCATCTAGATCTGCTAATGGTTTCCTTCTGTTCCCCTCCGTACTCCTCAGGATGAACATTTTCTGGAATTAAAGTCTGATAATGAACAGGGTTATTATCAGACATTTTATTATTATATAATTATTAATTATTTTTTATTATAACTAATAATAAATAGGGTTTATTTAGTTGTTTTAATGTTATGCTGGTGTGGTCTATGTTTATCGAGAGACTCTTGTAAATTCTTTAAAACACCTAAATGAAATGAGAGATTAAACGAAACCGCGGACACTTACTTTCCAGTCTTTCGGTTTATTCTGCTCCTTGGATTTCAGCTTTGAAATCTCCTCCCTCACTTTCTTCAGATGCTCAATGTCTTTGTGAAGTTTCACCTGTGGGGAAAACGATGCCTGGAGAATTCTGCTGCAATGGGTCAGAGCTCTGGGGATTCTTCACCTATGGGTGGCAGGAAGGACGGGGTTCTGGCCAAGCCCCGGCCTGGCAGTGAGGGGACCTGGGTTCTGTCCCCAGCCCTGCCACAGACAGAGCTGATCTGAGTGACCCCGGGGCTCTCTGCAGAGCTGTCCTATTCGGTTCCCAAACAGCCAGGTGAAAGATTCAGGGAGGTGATTTTCTGCCCGCCTTCCCAACACTGCTCTGCTGTGCCGTACAAGGTTAGGGAGAGGGGCAGATGGGGTGCTCAGCACTGGGGTTTGTGGAAGGGACTCAGGGAGCTGGGAATGGGCAACAGGGGATGCCTGTTCTGTTCATTCCCTCTGGGGCACCTGGCACTGGCCGCTGTTGGAAGACAGGTTACTGGGCTAGATGGACCTTTGGTCTAACCCAGTATGGCTGTTCTTATGAGGGGCTCACTCAGTCTCTCCTGTTGAAGCTGCTCCACTTCAGGTAAATAAAGGGGCTCTGGGGAATCACAGTGGCACCTAAAACTGGGACATAGGTTCCTATGTACCATTGTGGGTACAGGTTTGAGAGTTTTCCATTGATTTCAATGGGGCCATGATTTCATCCAGTATATTTAGAAGATTCCTACCTGTCATGGCTAAACTCCATGGCATTTTTAAATTAAACTTCTCCTGCAGTGATTTAATTTCTCTTGACTATTTAGAAATAAATGTTTCCTACCTTGTATTCCTGCGCAGCATCCTCGATGGGCACCAGCGTATGAGATCCGTGCTCCTGGGTTTTATCACAAAGCAGACAGTTCACCTCACCATCATCTTCACAGAACAGCTTGAGTTTGTCCTCATGCTCCCTGCCGACTGTCTGCTTTTTTAGGTTTTCAGGTTTTATCCCTAACTGCTGGATATTTTCCACCATTCTGGCAAGCTGCCTGTTGGTCTGGGATTTCTCTTTCTTCAATTTGCTCCTGCATTGTGGACAGAAAACTCCCTCTTCTTCAATTTCCAATTTTTCGTAGTACTCTGTGATACAAAATCGGCAGAAGTTGTGACCACAGTCCATGCTCACTGGATCACTGAAATACTCTAGACAGATGGGACAAACCGCTTCTTCCAATAGCTTTCTCAAAGGATGGGCCATGGCGGTGGGAATGTAAGCGTTTCAGTGATCAGTTTCATGTAACGAGTTATACTCTTTATTAGACAACATTTTAACAGTGAGGGTAGCAAACCATTGGCACAGCTTCCCAAGGGAAAGGGTAGCATTTGTCATCAAGTCTTTAGATTGTCTCTAGATGCCTTTCTAAAAGATCTGCTGTACACTGATAGATGTGAAAGCCAGAACGGATGATTATGATCATCTAATCTGACGTCCTGCATAACACAGACCAGAGAAATTTACGTAGTAATTCCTGCATCAAGCCCATAATCTGCGGTAGAGGTAAAGCACAACTTTTAGAAAGCGACAACCAATCTTGATTTAAAGTCTCCAAGTAAGGGAAAATCCACCGTATCTCTTGGCCAGTTGTTCCAGTGGTTAATTACCCACAGTTAAAAAACTGTGCCTCATGTTGTACTCTGTCTTCATTTTTATGGGGTTGGTTTGTTATGCCTCTTTCCTTCCCTATGTTTTTTTCTATTTTTTGCTCCGAGTTGAGGGTCCAGTGAGTTAGAGATTGGTCAATTGTTCTTCTTGCCAGCAAGTTAAAGAAGTATGGGCTGGATAAATGGACTATAAGGTGGATAGAAAGCTGGCTAGATCACCGGGCTCAAAGGGTAGCGATCAATGGCTCCATGTCTAGTGGCAGCCGGTATCAGGCGGAGTGCCCCAAGGGTCGGTCCTGGGGCCGGTTTTGTTCAATATCTTTATTAATGATCTGGAGGATGGAGTGGACTGCACCCTTAGCAAGTTTGCAGATGACACTAAACTGGGAGGAGTGGTAGATACGCTGGAGGGTAGGGATAGGATAGAGGGACCTAGACAAATTAGAGAATTGGACCAAAAGAAATCTGATGAGGTTCAACAAGGACAAGTGCAGAGTCCTGCACTTAGGACATAAGAATCCCATGCACTGCTACAAACTGGGGACCAAGTGGCTAGGCAGCAGTTCTGCAGAAAAGAACCTAGGGGTTACAGTGGATGAGAAGCTGGAAATGAGTCAACAGTCTGCCCTTGTTGCCAAGAAGGCTAACGACATTTTGCTCTGTATACGTAGGAGCACTGCCAGCAGATCAAGGGACGTGATTATTCCCCTCTATTCGACATTGGTGAGGCCTCATCTGGAGTACTGTGTCCAGTTTTGGGCCCCACACTACAAGAAGGATGTGGAAAAATTGGAAAGAGTCCAGCGGAGGGCAACGAAAATGATTAGGGGGCTAGAGAACATGACTTATGAGGAGAGGCTGAGGGAATTGGGGTTATTTAGTCTGCAGAAGAGAAGAATGAGGGGGGATTTGATAGCTGCTTTCAACTACCTGAAAGGGGGTTCCAAAGAGGATGGATCTAGACTGTTCTCAGTGGTACTAGATGACAAAACAAGGAGTAATGGTCTCAAGTTGCAGTGGGGGAGGTTTAGGTTGGATATTAGGAAAAACTTTTTCCACTAGGAGGGTGGTGAAGCACTGGAATGGGTTACGTAGGGAGGTGGTGGAATCTCCTTCCTTAGAGGTTTTTAAGGTCAGACTTGACAAAGCCCTGGCTGGGATGATTTAGTTGGGGATTGATCCTGCTTTGAGCAGGAGGTTGGACTAGATGACCCCCTGAGGTCCCTTCCAACCCTGACATTCTACAATTCTATGCTTCTAACAGTGAACTACTCTCAGAGTTAAATATTTGCACCTTATTTCCTCCTAAATGTTCCAGCACTCACCCCCTACCCCAATTTAGGTATAAGGGTGTCCCAGGCTACAGCCAAGGTGGAGGAATGTGGGTTCATTGACCTCCTCAATCCCTGGAAGAAGGGGAGGAGGTATAGAATCAGAGAATATCAGGGTTGGAAGGGACCTCAAGAGGTCATCTAGTCCAACCCCCTGCTCAAAGCAGGACCCCATCCCAGTTTCAAATCCAATGATTCTGGGGTGGTAAAAGCAACCAGGACACAACATGAAAACACCCCATGTGCATCCTACTAGTTTAATCTAACAGATAAATCCTAAGGGAGGATGTGAAACTGTTCTGAACTGTGCTATGAAAACTGTAAAGTTGATTGATGAGAAACTGCTGTAAGAATCTTAAAAGTGCCCGATAGAAAAGCTACAACGGGATGGGGAATTAGTTTTGGCACCTATGGATACCAGTTGTGGGTCTGAACTTCCCTCTTCAAGACTGAACTGAGCAGGGTCAGTGACCTGGGGAAGAGGTGTGATGAAGTGGGAATTGTCTGTAATATTTTCATGAAGTCTGTGTGAGCTTGTTTCCCGCTGCATTCTATAACCATTGCTATTCAGTGGGTGAAAAAGGGTTAGCATTGCTCCATGAAAAGCAGAGATACGAGGTGTGTGCATCACACACCTCTTAAGAGAGGATCTGGAAAGACCTGGGAACCTCCCAGTGAGTGAACAATGGTACGCTTGTCTGAACTCATTTATTTTTACATGGCACTGCTGTGTGTCCCTGGTGTAGCCCTGTGTAATTTTGGTATGGATGTCAGCGTTTCTTCTGTTGGTTTGGAGTTCTGCCTGCACAGACTCTTCTCCCCACACAGCAATCAGATCCAGTGTCTCCTGTATGCTCCATGCTGGAGTGTGTTTGCAGCCCTGGGCATGCATGGTCAGCTGTGCTGGTGAGCTCTCCACATTGATCAAACAGGAAATGAAATTCAAAAGTTCCCAGGGCTTTTCCTGTGTACCTGGCTGAAGTGCAGTAAAGTTAAAAGTGCTGTCCAGAGTGGTCACATTGGAGCACTCTGGGACACCTCCCAGAGGCCAATGCCATCGCATTGCACATTGCTGTGTCTACACTACCCCTAATTTGACCTGGGAATGTTGACTCTAGCGCTATGCCTTTCGTCAAGGTGGAGTACAGGCATCTATTTTATAAGCCCTTTAAGTCAGCGGAAAGGACTCAGTAGCGTGGACACCCACAAGATAAATTCGACCTAATGCAGCATTTGTCAACCTAACACTGTAGTGTAGACCACCCTCAGAACAGTGCGTTGGGCGGTGCTATTCAAAAATAGGTTTATTGCCCCAATTGGGCACTTGAATGCAAGTTCCGAAAAGGTTTGCTGAGGCATAGAGTTATTCAGTTCCTGGCATTCTGTGAATTATTTTGATCCCTGTGCTGGAACCACATGTTCTGGATTCTTACTGCTGTTTAAAAAATTATTCTGGGCAGGAACGGAGTGATACTAATCAGTTCTCACAGCTAAAATATTGCCCTCGAGATAACGGGGTTTATGTATACATAGTGTGTGCTGTGACACTTGGGAACCGTCTGAATCCTTTTTGTTTTAATAAAATGGTTCTGGGCCAGAACACGTTAATGACAATATTCTACTACACCGTTCTCATGGCTAAAGTGCTGTCCTCAAGGTACTCCACAACACGTATACATTTCATCCTCTGGGCCACTGCAGAATTGACTGTTCTGGGTCTTTATTAGTGTTGAAAAAGATTCTGGGTCAGAATGGGTTAATGACAGTGTGTTACTAATCAAGTCTCAGTGCTAAAGTATTGTCCGCAGGGCACTGCACTACGTGGGGAAATTCCTTCTCCTGGGCCTCTTCGGAAGGGTCTATCCCGGGTCATTACTGTTGTTAAACGGTGGCTCTAGGCCAGCCCAAGTTAACAACAGGGTGTTCTTAGTCTGCTCCCGTTACTGAAAAATTGCTCCTAGGTCCGGGGAACAGGATCGGTTTTATTTTGCGAGAATTCAGTTAATTAAGATGCTGTTCCGCGCCATTGCAGCTTTTACACCGTCCCCTGCAAATCAGGAGTCACCTCGTTGGAGTCACGGGGCGGGGGGGGGGGGAGTGGAGTGGCGCTGGGCACTGGCAGGGAGCGCTGGGAGAGAGAAAAGGTGTCTCCTTCTCCTGTTGTGGCCAGAGCCGGGATCACGGGACGTTGGCTC